AAATACCCATTAGTTAGCATTTGTTCGGGAAGCAAAACTTGACTAGTTGTCAATAAGCCTCAAAAATCACAAAAGTGCCATTTGGTTCAGCAGCACAAGTTTATCTGTTTGGTGCATTTGCAGTGCTTAGAATTGCATCCTGGTATGATGCAAAGCTTGCTGTTTCTATGTGTTTGTGAAGAGAGAGAAAATTAAACAGACTCTTTTAAAGTTCATTTTTATTTTATCAAAGTAAAACATATGTAACTTTGAAAGACAGATAGTTTTTAGTCTTACTCTAATGAAAATTACACTCCTATCTTATGTTCCCTAACCCTTCTTTTTCTGGAAGTGGTTACTTTCAACTTTTTCTTCTTCTGCTATTATTTACATATTTATTGATTCATCAATTTTTGACATTAGATACTGCCATCCTATGCAGGAAGATAGTAACTTAGCTCTGTTATACCCTCCCAACTTCCTTTCCCCTCCTCCTCATCAATTATACTGGCCACATTAATTTTGTTCATTCTTGAGCCAGGAAATAAGCTTTAATTATTTAATAGATAAATTTTTGTCATTTCTTTTGTTTCAGTTTCTGTCACAATTGTTCTCACTCTCCCTACTGTCACTCTCAGATCTGCTCTCTACACTTCCTTTCACACCATCCCTCCTGTGAGGGGCCTTCACAGCCACCTGTTGCACTCTTCTTGTCCAGGACCTTTCTTTAACCACCAGCCTCCAAATGACTTTATTTCCTGCCTACATTGGACTTCTGTTTGCTGGATCCCATGTTTACTCCTCCTCTGTGGTGGAAAATGTCTTCTAATAGCTTCCTGTGTAGTAGTTCATGGAGGTAAATTTTGAGAGCTTGCATGTTTGTAGTGTTTATTTCTTTTCCTCTCACTTGATGGGGAATTTGTCTGCATATAGGATTCTAGGCTGAAAATCCTTTTCCCTCTGAATTCCAATGACTTCTAACTTCCACTGCCACCATTGAGAAGTCCATTGTCATTCTTACCCCATCCTTCATTTATGACTTCTTTTTCCCCTCTCAGAAATCATTTAGCCTCATTTCTTTATATCTAGATCCTTTTCTTCATTTATGCTATGGAAATCCGGTTGTCTACTCAACCTGGAAACATATGCCCCTCATTTCTGGGAAATTGTTGTTGTTAGGTGTCATTGAGTCAGCTCTGACTCACAGCGACCCTATGTACAACAGAACAAAACACTGCCTGGTCTTGTATGAGCCTCACAATCCCTGCTATACTGAGCCCATAGTTGTAGCCACTGTGTCAAAGCTCTGCTGAAACTTGTCCACCATGAGTGACCCTACTGGTATTTGAAATACCAGTGGCATAGCTTCTAGCCTCACAGCAACACACAGGCCACCACAGTATGACAAACTGACAGATGAGTGGTGGTCTGGGAAATTATACTCTATTATTTCTGTGATAAGTTTTCTCTACCAATTTTTGTGCTTTCCTTTCCAAAAACTCACCAGTCACATGTTGGACTTTCTGGGTTAATCCCTCAATTTGCTTTTCTTTTCTTTTCCTCTTAGCTTCCTGCCCATCTCTGTTCTTCTAGTTCCTAAGAGATTTTTGTGACTTTATTTCCCAACCTTTGTATTGAACTTTTCATTTTGGCAGCTGTATTTTTTTATATATATCTTTTTTTTTTTTAATTTTTATTGTGATTTGGTGAACGTTTACAAAGCAAATTCAATTTCCATACAGCAGCTCACATACACTTTGTCTCATGACATTGACTGGAGTTTCCCACAATGCAATAGCTCCCCTCCCTCTTCCTCCCCATAGTTACCTCTTCCCTGTGTCCTTCCCTCCCATGCACTCCTGCCACACACACACACACACACACGCACACACGAGCTGTATCCCCGTGCATACACAGCCCTTCTATTCTCCCATGATTGATCTCTCCAAGGAGCATATCTACTTAATGTAAATGTTCACCTCATATGCCTGTCTTTTGTTTGGCTTGAAGCCACAGGAGTGGGTTCAGTTCCAGACCTGAAGGGCAGCTAGGGGCCATAGTCTCAGTGGTTCCATCAGGCTCTATCAGACCAGCAAACTTGGTCCTTTTTTTTTTCCAAAATGATTTTGAGTTTTGTTTCACATTATTCTCCCACTCTGTCCAGGATCTCCTACATAGAACCCCTTCTTAGTGGTTGACAGTGGTAGCCAGGCACCATCTAGTTTTTCTGGTCTCATAGTCGTATAGGCTAGGAATCACATGGTGTACCAGTTGGTTGGACTAATTGTTTCCATGCATCTTTAGTTTTCTTCACTCTTATTTTCTATGGATAAGGAGAGATCCATTGTTGCATCTAGATGGCTGCTTGTAAGCTTTCGAGATCCCAGTCGCTACTCGCCAAAGTAGGATGTGCAACAATGTTTTTGTGTAGTATGTTAATACCAATTGAGCTTGATGTCCCTGGCAGGCTGTTATATTTTTAAGGTTCATTAGTGTTTTTCTGCCTTTTTAGTGCATCCTGTTCTTATTTCTTAGATGTGGTGGTATATGTTGAATCATATAAAACTGTCAGTATTACACTGGTTTTGAGCTATAAAAATGGGAGTTTTATATGGTTTAACCTAATTTTCTACCATCTCTCTCATCTAATATAATTTCCTTATCCTTGATTTGCCTCATTCCTCTATGTTCCCTCTAGTTTGTTTGCTTTCATGTTGGGACTTTCCTAAAACACACGGTGAATCTTGGCCATCTATCATATTTTCATATTTAAGAATGAGCCACTAAACACTTATTAGAAGTCCTTTCTGCTTAAGAAGGTATATCACCTGCTTATCTTCACAGTAGTGGAACTGATGGGATCTGACTGGGATCCAGAGGAGAAGACTTCTTCCATGCTTGCGTGAGGATGTGCCCTGCCCCCAGCATTCTTATCATTGTGTGGGAGGGTGGGCAGGGCTTCTGGTGCATGCTGGCATCTTTTCCTGGATACCCCTATTCTCATTCAGGTGTCTCACATCTGCCATGCCTTGAGCTTAGTGTCCCTGAACCCAGATCTCAGCCATTCAGATTCTCCTGTGAAGGTCAGACTAGGATAATCACTAGATCAGTAAGGTTGAGGAAGAGAAACCTAGGATGTGAAGGAAGAGTGGAGGCCACATATCTAAGAGACTAAACTAGTCCCTTCTCTTTTTCCTACCACCTACCCTCTCCTGCCTTCCACTCCTCCTCTGCCTCATGTGCTTGGATGGCCCCGGATCTGAGGGAGGAGTCCTTGTGCCACCTCCCTCTGAGGACAATTAGAGCAGAGAAAACGAGCCTGTGTCTAAGAACACGTGCCTTCTCTCACATGCTTTTCTCTTTGTGGGCGTATAATTTTAAAGATTCAATTTATGGTCCATTTCATAGTGTTTGGGAGATACAGAGATCAACACATATGGGCCATCTACCATG